CGAGGGAAACCAGAGTGCCTGGAGAAAAACCCTCACCGAAAGCCGGAATTAAACACAAAGTACACAAAAGCTTGAGATTTTATTAAAACAAAGTCATGTATTACAACAAAGTGTGTGTGTGTTAAAGATATTGAAATCAAGAGAGAGGAGACGGACAATTTCGGTCCTATTTTTATTAATACTTCACTAAACATGTATTACAAAGCGTGTGTGTTTTCTTTACCTATAGTACATCATTAATATACGAAAACATTAAACTATTATATCTAAAACCGGTTACAAAGTAGGTGCGTTTAAGATCATGACATTAATTTTGAGTTTATGAAACAGTGCAGGTTAAATGTTTGGCATATTTTAGTATAGAATTGTGCATGTCTTTTTACAGTGTACTATTGTGTTTCTTAATGCTCAAGTCTAATCAGTAAAGCATGCATTCATGTAATTAAATGTTTCTAAGTTATCGTGTATTTTTTTTGTTCTATTAGACCTAACCCACTAACTCTGGGAGAGAGCTGAATAAAGCTTATGGAGATCGACGACCTAATATAGTGATACATAGAAATACCTGAGTTCAGAGCATTTAGATTCAAGTTACGTTCGTTCAAAAACTGAAATTATTCTGCTGACAAATCATAGGCAGTGTTCCTAATAGTTTCGTTTTAAGCTGTCAAACTGTGCATTTTCAAGGATCGAGTTAACTTGAAGATATTTCATGAGCCCTTATAGAAACAGCATGAAGGTATACACAATTGTCCATGAAAACTTCATTGTACATTTTAGAGCTGAGGCATATAGCCAGAGCATGCTGCCCTTGTAGAAACAAGGTTTGGGAAAAATACAAGAAATTGACTTTATATTTTTGAGGCTGAGGCATATAGCCAAAGCAACAAACTGTCGAAACCAAGTGCAACATCGAATGTAAATATTTTTTTCTTAAAAAAATCAGTCAACATTCTTTAAACCAAGGGATATTCCCAAAGCAAGCTGCCCTTATAGAAACAGCACCAAGAGTACAATTTTTTTTTCAGAGAAACTGGACTAACACTTTCAAAGCCAAGACATATAGCCAAAGCAAGCTGCTCTTATAGAAACAGCCGCAGGAGTACATTTTTTTCTTCGAAAAACTGGTTTAAAAACTTTTAGAGCTAAGGCATAAAGCCAAAGCAAGCTGCTCTTATAGAAACAGCAATGAAAATAACACTGCAACGTTATTAGATATCCTAAGATACCTGCTAACACTTCGAACCACATAGCAAAGTCAAACAGTACAGACAAAAAGTGGCGCCTTACTTTTCATAAGCACTGTTCGACGAAGCTAAATGATTGGAAATCTCACAGAGACCTTGGAAAAAGAATAAAGCTACAATGCCACTGCCAATGTTTGTCTCGTAATTGGTTTCTAACTATTGCAGAAATAAGGCATATATCGTTTTAAGATAACAGCATGCATCCCCCCCCCCACCCATTCCTTATTTTCTTCAAGTAAATTCAAATTCATTAATTGAGAGCATGTTTTGTATATTGTTATAAAGTGCATGTGTGTGTTAACTTTGATTGCATAAATTCATGTATTTCAGAATAGCAAGATATTATAAGATATGCCGTAATTGAATACTAACTGTAGCCTTAAGTGAATGCAAGAGATAAGAGAGATATAAACTAGAAGCCATTATATAGGCCATGGTTTGCATCAATGTATTTACTCGTGTGCGTGTCTATTTTACAGCTACAAGATCATGAGGTATAGTGCATGATGTTTTGTATCTGTTCATATTTTGATATAAATCATGTTTTTTCATAAATACATACACAATATTATAGGTTCAATTACAAAGTATAGTAAGGCAAGATATAATCGTATATTTACAATGTTTGCTGAGAAATCAGAAACGTAATTACATTCGAATAATTTTACAACCAGACCGAATAGTGACCCTATAGTTATCATTTTACAATGTTAATTCCGCGAAAGCCGCAATTGACCGGATTTCAAGAGCCGAAGATGATTTCAATCAGGACAAGATAGAAATAATATAGAAGAAAGAACCTATGGGATTATGTCTGCCATTTGTGGCTGTGAGTTGTGTTAGCATGTACATGGCTTTTTAGCCATTTCTTATGTGAAATATGGGTATAACATATATATATGTTTTTAGTTTTAACAGGCAAATTATCAACCTAAACCTTAGCACAGTCCTAAGCACAAGCGAGCAGTCCTAAGCGCAAAACCGATTCAAATATTTAAAACCCCTATAAAACCCCTCTGGGATTTCAAATATTTCCTTTCTTGCCATTATTAATATTCATATTTAATTATCATGCGGCCGTTGTCGTTCTCTACCTGAATCATAAACTCCCTATTGTTCGGTTTATCTAAAAATGTTCAATTGCTTAATACTCACGTTTTATTATGAACAGGTTTTGACGTCGTTTCAAATGGCTTGACCCGCTAAGTCGCTACCTGCAATAAAACCAAAGGAATGCTTGTTATAGACAGCGATTTCAAGGATTTACCTTCGATGAAGGGAGCTCAAATATCGGGAGAAAACGTGCGGTGACTATTCAGTTGAGAGAATGCATGATGCCTGATCAAGCGTTTCAAGTTTTCCCATCCTATTTTGAATAAAATAGACCCAAAATTACCTGTTCATTTTAGCAACAAGTGTTGAAGAGCAGCTTTGGACTTGCTGTCTCTTTAAATGCGAGTCATCTCCGGGAATTTCAGCAATGGGTTTTCTTTCTTTTTTTTCTATATTCGGTTTGGTTTTAGCTTTTAAACTCCACCTGGAAAAACAAAAGGCAATGTTAGTTTACTGGTTTGGTCTTTAATTTGGTAATTGCTTGCGATTGGAGCAAAGGTTAGCGGCCCACACATGCAAGATTTAGCGTATATTACCTTTCTCATATCATCAACAACTCCCAAGAAAATGCGCAGACGTGCTCTCATTCAAAGACGAGCTATCTTGAGCCATTTCAGCCACAATTTATCGCGTTAAATGCGAGTCGTCTCGGGTAATTTCAGCTACGGTAACGGGCTTCCTGCCCACTTCACTTCATTCAGTTTTGTTTTAAGCTCTCAAACTCCAGACCTGGAAGAATAAAAGGCACCATTAGTTCACTGCTTAGATCTTTAGAACTCAATCCAAACGTAATTTGTGCGCGATTAGAGCGAAGGTTAGCGGCTCAACGGTAAGATTTAGCGTATATTACCTTTCTCATATCATCAACAAGTCACCAGAAAAAGCCTAGACGTGCTTTCTCTTCAAAGGCGAGTTATCTTGAGCCAGTTCAGCCACCATTCATCGGTCGCCAATCTCTTGTTCACAAATTTTTACCGTTTAGCTTTAATTCGTCAAAATTCTGCATGAAAAGTATAAAAAGCAACGTTAGTTTTATGCAGGTTTGTATTTGAAGCTGAACACAACACGAACACTACGAGAAAGGCATTACAAGACGTGAACTAAAGACACTTGGAACCTCTGCCCAAAAGCTCACGATGAAACAAGCTGATAAAACACGCAAAGGGAAAGGCATATTACCTGGTATTATACCAACGACAGACAGTATGTCAGATATAGTAAACTTCTATTAAACTTCTCTTCTGCTGAAGACGATAGCAATCTGATAGAAATTTCTGTTGAAATTTTTTTGGCATGGTGTAGACTCATCTTTATTCTTCGAAGACCAGCGCTGAAGTGATGTCTCATTAACTGGAATCAAAAGCACATATTCATTTCACCCGCTCCTCGTGTCTGCAAAATAAAGTCACCCTATTGGCTGAACACTCCCAGCCTGACTGCTCAACAACGCTTTTGATTGGATGTTCATAGTAATTTAAATAATATTATTAATTCTCTTCTCCTGAGCCTGGACATGAGAAATGAAAGGAAAGAATTAATCAAATTACTACGCTCGTCCAATCAGAAGCAATGTTGAGCTGTCAGGCCGGGAGTGTTCGGCCAATAGGATGACTTTATTTTGCAACACGAGGAGCGGGTGAAATAAATATCTAGCTTTGATTCAACGTTGCCACATCACAACATGGATAACACGGAGTCGGAGTTCCGGAGCCGGAGTTTCAGAGCCGGAGTCCCGGGGTCAAAATTACAGAGTCTGACGTAATAATAGCGAGGTTCAGATTTGACTACCACTACGACTACCACAACCTTTGAGGGAATATAAACCAATCAAATGCGATAGGTCTATCAGACTAACCAATCACGAGCTTAATAGATTAGCGAGAGGTAGCGGTAGTGGTAGTGGAAGCCAAATCTGAACCTCGCTAATATTGGAAAACACGGAGTCAAAAATTATGGAAAACACGTAGTCTGTCAAAAACATGGAAAACACGGAGTATAAATTTTGGAAAACACAGAGTCAACGTAAATTATACATATATTCATAAATGAAGGATCGCTCATAAGTCTATACTAATTTTTTATACCACAGTAATAGTATAAAACAAAGAATACACAATAACAAAAGATTATAGTTATCATGCCTCTTGCTCAAAGTCATAGAATTATTGTTGTAGCTAACTACATTACGTGTCCTTATATCACCTTAAATCACACCAAAACTGCCACATCCAATTTCCTCTTTTTCTACAATATCCTCCCATTTAAATTGAGGAATATTATTTATGTTTAAGGATAAGTTTTTCGGTCGTTTATTTACCATTTGCGGAATAGCAAAAACGTTACGCGAATTTGACGCCATGTTGTTTAAAACACGCTATCAAATTTGCATAATTTACGTTGAGTCATTGACCACTGAGCTTGGCAGACTTCCAAACATTTATACTCCGTGTTTTCCATAGTTTTAACAGACTCCGTGTTTTCCATAATTTGTGACTCCGTGTTTTCCAATATTATCACGTCAGACACCGTAATTTTAACTCCGGGACTCCAACTCCGAAACTCCGGCTCCGGAACTCCGTGTTATACAGGCCCGGATTTCGGGATCATGTTGACCGCCTGACATGCAGGCTTGCGCGCAAAGGAATTACGACCACGACTAGGCTCTATAGTTAAAATATGTTTTTCGCTTTATAGGTCGTGTATTTTTACCGATTACTTCTCTGCCGCTCTTCTTCAGCATACAAATGGCAACAAACGGTCATTCAGGCTACCCACTGAAGTGGTTTAAAGAACAGAATGCAGCGAGGAGTTCCTTCGAATGTTCAATATGTCTGGAGGTTTTGAAAGATGCCGTGCAAGTTGGGGATTGTGGACACCAATTTTGCGCACAATGTATTGAGGATATTTTAAAGTAAGGAGTATATGTAGCAGACACTCAAAATTAGTTCCTGTGTGTGCGGCGCACACAGCTAAAATGTAAACCTACATGAAAAGTGCAATTTTTAATTGACCAAGGTTTTACATGTTAACACATATGACACATTATTACCTCAACAGAAGTGATCCTCGTTGTCCATCATGCAGAATTAGAATATCGAAACAAAATGTAAGCGGCGTCTGTTAACCTTAATATTATTAATTGATCATTGAAAATTTTTAGCTTTGATGCCTTCTGATATAGTTATTCGTTTTCAAGGTGTTTAAAGATCATGCAGCAAGAAGATTGATCAAAAAGTTGGATGTAAATTGCTGCAATGATGGGTGTAGTTGGATTGGAAGTTTAGGGTCCCTTCTTGAGGTACATTTTACTTATTTATTATTATTTAGGCAAGGTATGTGTGTATCCTCCAAATTTATGATCACATAACAATATATCACAGATGAATATAATTAGTTTCAAGCAACTCATTGAACTGCTTGCTAATTAAAACATTATTTCAGTTTTAAATGTCTAATGTCTTGAGTCTTGACTGAACACCCCTTGTTAGAAACATCATTTGCTAAGCCTAAATTATCACAAAAAGTCTTACAGTTGGAACAATAAACCTATTCAATATAATCCCAAGTAACAGTGCACAAGACACTAGTTTTTATTATGCAACCAAATTCAGGACTTCCAGGATATCCAGGAAAAGTCCAGCTGGATCATCAGACCAAATACCAGATATTAATTTCATTTAATTTCCAAGCAAGTATAAAAATGTATTCATTTTTTTGAGTCATAACAGCAAGTATGTATATCATACATTCGCTGTATAATATATTATGTGAAACAATATTGTTAGTAGTTTTACCATAATTCAGGAATAAGTAAAAGTTTAAGATTGTAAAATGTAAAATAATATATCTATTGCTCTTCTAGTTTTGAAGTTCTACTAATATCACATAGGATGATAAATTGATAAATTACCCAATCTAGGCTCACATGAATAGCTGCAGGTTTCTAGTTGGCAACAAAAATAATGCTAATCAATCAGATGCTATAGCTGAGCTTCAAGCAAGATTTGAAAGTCTTGTGTTGAAAGTTTCATCATTAGAAAAAGTGGTAAGTATATTAATTATGCATATGCAGGGCCGTAGCTAAAAGCTTAATTGGGGGATGCATATTCATATATTCGTCTTTTGCCCGACTGATTTCTTTCGTACCCTATTGTTCCTACACAAATCAAGTGGTCTAACTACGCCTGTACAATTGACAGAATTGTTTTGTTAAATACAGTAAAATAAATGCTCATTAATTGGAACTTAAAACTTGTCTTTGATATAAATCTAGTATCCAAAACATTGAGGGCACATTTTAGAGTGGAATTGTTAGACATAAAAACTGCCAATTATCAATTGTATATGTATACTTTTTCAACACAGTCACAGAAAAAGTGCAATCTTGTACATGTACAGGAGGGAACTGTAGACACCACCAAAACAACATTAAGCAAGTCAATTCATCTAGGGTTAGGCAGAATAATAAGATATTTATTATTAATAATTTAATTTTAAATTCACAATACCTTAATAACAACGCTATAGCTAATGAATTTCTAAAGAAAATTTTTAAATAAAATCTACCAATGTGATTACGATTTTGAGCTGCAGTAATGTATTCGCTAACCCTGAATCCGCCACTTATTCAAAGGTTTGTCAGCTGTGTCAATTGGAATTCTATTGACCAAAACCTGTTTAATAACTATTTTTTCTACGTTACCCTGTTCATATTATCAAAATGTAACCTTACTTTTCATTGCAGCACAAAAATGAAATGGAAGAAGTTAACTCAAAAGTTTTGCAGCGTGAAAATGAACTCAAGCAACTTAAACTTAAGGTTTGTAAAAGCAGAGTACAAAAAAAAATCATTGCCCATTGGCAATGGTGAATGGTTTATTCGAAATAAAAATGCACTTAAACATTAAAAATTTGAACAAAACATGAGTTGAAAACATTTTCCGTGTTTCTATAAGTTATAGGAACACGCGTGGGAATTTGGGATAAGGAGAAATAATCAGTGGGAAAACGAACCTGTAGGGTGAGTTTTTCCACGTTTCGAATTCTCCCACACTCCCACAAGTGTTTCTATAACTGTATAGAAATACAGGAAAAATGTTTTCTATTTCTTTTATAATATAACTCAATAAAAGGATTTTTTCAAATATTATAATTCAATCAATTACAAATTCACATTACATCGCTTCGCTTATCAAGTTCGGCGGGAAAATTCCCGTGTTTCTATACATTTATAGGAACATGCTTTTCGACCAATCAGCACAGCCGCGTACTATAAATGTTATATTAAAATTATTTTTACTAAACACTTGCCAAGTACGTGCACACTCCATTGCGGGCCACATCCTCGAGGAAAATTGTGAGAGTAAAACCTAAGTGCCCGTCATTGGGCGTCGAACTTTTCTTACGCCAAATATTATTTCAACAAGCTAAAGTCTTATTTCAACAAGCTTAAAGTCTTAGGTTTATTTGTATATTTACACGTAAAAAGTTAAAGCTAAAACGGGCGTAAGTAGCTTTGTGGCTTTTTGGTCACCAGTGCCCAATTAAGCGTCGCTGGGTAAATTAGGAGCTTGCCTTATGCTAGGCACGTGACGGACACCGATGTAACTAATGCGATTTTCAGCGTTTTAGTGGTTTTTCGCAACTTCTTTGCTTACCTTTAGCTCTGTTGTAGAAATAGTTTGCAAAAGATATTCTGGTCGGGGTGTGTTTTAGAATTTTCTTCTTATTTTCCTTACAGCACGAAACTGACTTGCACAACCTCAAGAGTGAAGTAAGTGAATTTTACTTTGAATGAGCATATTTTTTTCAGCTTTAGCTACGTTAAGCAGCAATGACTACGCATGCGCAGGGGGAATATATCCCCCCAGTCCTTTGTGTTGTAAACACTCATAAGGTTGTTTAACACCTATTTAAGCAGCTTGGTTTCCTTGCGGATGACAATGACGCTGTTTTATCGCGATTTAGAAGGTTTCAATGATTATAAAGTTTCTAAATCGGATTCAAGATGGCGATTTCATTTTGTAACAGAATTGCAGCGTTTTTTTGTACGAAAAATCTTCATAAAGAGTGCTTTAAAATAACACTTACCATGGCGGGTGCACGTAAAAACGCAATATTCAGTAAGTCAGCAAAAAAACCTAATCCTTGATACAAAGATCTAAAGCGCCATATCAGTATTGCGTTATGTCAACAATTTTATGAAAAGTTCACGTAGTGACCGGGAATTTTTTATTGCATGTGTCTCATTATTTTAGCACGATGAAGAAGTTAAGGAACTTAAGGATCAAATCTTGTTTTTCGGGAGATACACTTCGCTACCAGCGACCTCAGGGCAGTCACTAGAACAGCTCAGGCAAAACCTAACGGTATCGATAGCTTTAACGATACCGAATTTTACACACAAGTTAAATCAAGCTCGATCGAGTAACCAGCTCGGTGAAATTCATGGTGATCCATTTAACAATTATCATGGATACAGAATGAAGATTGCAGTTCACGTCAATGAAGCCCCCCGTGGCAGCACGGGATATATGGGGGTATACCTGTACTTATTGCAAGGGGATAATGACGATAAGTTAGAATGGCCTTTTAACAAAAGAGTTACATTTATTGTTGTTGATCAGCAAAATAATGAAGCTTTCGTTCACAATCACGAGAAGGATCTACATCCAGGGGGAGAAGAACAATTTGAAAAACCGATGTTCGGAAGGATTAATCAGGGTCGTGGTTTTTCACAGTTCGTGTTACACTCCACTCTGCGCAAACGACAGTATGTAAGGAACCATACCCTATACATCGCAGTGTCAATACGGCCTTGATGCTTTCGAAGTGAATGTGCCGTATGTTTTGGATATATTGAGACTTCATAAACGTTCTGTCACATAGACATTTGATGGCGGTAGAGACGTGCATAGTTTATAAATATTCGCGCTAAGGGCTTCGATACACACACGGAAATGTTGGAAAAAGGGAAACACTCGGTATGTTTTATGCCGAATGTAGCAATTTATATACAAACTCGTTGTTCACTTTCAGATAGATGAAAGCTCGTTGTTGTTAGACTTTCACAACAGACTTAGTTTACATATACTTATGCAATGATTGCACTGTCCTGTATGTTCTTCATGGCAAATATAGTTAACTTTCAGTTGAGTTCAAATGTCAAGTTGTAGTTTCAAAAGCAAGTTGATCAAAGCCTTGTTAGATTGCAAAAGCGAAGATCAAAGATTTGTTATAGATTTTCAAAAGTTTGACTTCAAAGTTAGATCTCAAAAGCTAGATCAAAATTTGGTTAAATATCAAAAACATCGTCTGATTATCATATAATAACAATAACCTAAATCATAATAAGTTTGTTGGAACACCACCTGACAGTGTATTTATTATAGCTACCTATATATTTATGGAGAGCTTTCGCTCTGTTAACCTTGGCCGTCATCAAATCTTCATCGCGTTTTCTATGACTATGGCCTAATTTATATTGGAATTTGCCCGGATTAACCAAAAGCTCTTTGACATTCTTAAAAAAAGGTTTGTTCCCCCTCTCCCAAAAAAAGACTGCGAACGTGTGTTATACACGTTCAATATTTGAAATATTTCGCTAAATTTTGAAGGTAGGAAATTATGAATGTTTATTGAATCGCTAACATCGACCAGCATCGCATATTCGAACGCTTTCAAAACCGTGTTTAAGAACACTAATAATGCTTATATAACAGTAATAAGAATCCGGAGATTTTTTATGGAATTAACTCTATTTTCTATCTTTTACATGCATCTTGTCAGCGTAAGGCCTATTTAAACACTATAATTTTTTATTATATTGTTCCAGCTCGTCGATCGATCAAGATACGGGTGACTGATTAAGCCTGTTGTTTTATACTGATTTTTAGTTTGACGTTTACGGCAAACGCGAAACCGCTAACAAAGTTTGTGTTTTAAGAACGGATAGCATAAAACCGTGAACTTAATTAGTTTTACAAAGCAGTTGAATAATTATTATATGGTTAGTAGATGATCAGTGAATGAACAGTTTTTGACGTTAATAAGAGATAAGTGTAAGTTAGTCAATAGTAATGCAGTGGTGTCGAATACAAAACTATCCTAGAAATACATGCATGCAGCAACCTCTCGCTATTTCAAACCAAGTACAGAACTTCCTGAGCTAACCTGACCAAAACTCATAAAATCTAATCAGGCGATATTATATTCTATCGACTATAATTATTATAGGCTTTATAGCTAATGTTTCCATCATTTGGTACAAAAATAATCATAAAGCTAGTATAAAACATTGGCCGTTCAAAATTTGCTGGATTATGCTATGGCGGCAAATAAAGTAATGGTTTAAGATTGAAGTTTCAAACGATTAAAACAGTACAAAATCTTCAGTGAAAAAGAAAAAACCTCAAATGTTATTATACTCTGTGATTGCAGTCGACGACTAAAAGTTTTATAGTGTATAGTGATATTTGTCATATCAAAATTCAAATTACACTTTCAAAAACATTTTTTGAAGTTAATTAATTGCCTTTCACAGTTGGTTATAAACAAAGTGAACACTTATAAGCTTGCAGATTATGAATTAGTTCTCTTACACCGCTTTTCTTGAACTGTATATACTTGCTCTTCTTAGTTATCTGTCATTCTTTATCTTGTTTCTTCTCGTTTTATTTTGCACAAACTTTATGAAACAGCAGACTGAACGCTTTAACCATAGCACGGAATCCATCTCTTCTCTGTTACCATAGTCTAGACCGAGTTCACTGCCATAGACCAGTGAAATGAATATAACTGGAACGCTACCTTCTGACAGGAAGTTGAAGCTAAGTCACCCCCAGTCTTTACACGCAAAAACAAACACGGCCAAAACAAAATGTTTTTTTTGTGATTTCGTAAATTTGATAAAAACTCCCCGAAAAATTTTTTTAGGGAGGTAAATAACTGATTTTGTTAGTGCTTACAGCCGGCTGAGACATTCTTGATGTTGGTAGAATGCATTTTATGGACCTATTATTGGAAATGCAGAGTAAGACGGTTCTTTGGTAGGAAAAAGCGTAGAGCCTAGCCATAGGAAGCCCAGACAAATGAGTCGGCCATTTGACTATACAACTAGTGACGTAACTTACTATTTTATTGGGAAGGAAGGAAACTCTCGCCTCATTTTTCAACATATTCACAAATTAAAACACAAATTACTATAGTAAAACGGCACGTCGGCTGCTAAATGCCTACCGTAGGTTTAAGTTGAATAATCAAACTATACTTTCATAATAGAAATAGTGCTGAATCCAAAGGAAAGCGCTGGAAAAACGTACACAAACTTTGTAAATTTGCCGAGATTTTCGTGAATACAGAATACATGCGGGATGTAAGTACCTACCCAAAATGGCGGCTGGCAGAAGAATCTCATTGGTCGATCATTCTTTGTTTACCTTTCTCGACGAATCAGATTGGTTTATCATACTTATCATACCCTACGGGGTCGTGAAAGTTAATCTTTGTGTGGTGATTACTTTCATTTACTAAAACCAGAGTAGCGAGAATTACGATGGATTATACAGGGTGTCTCAAAAAAAACGCAACCACTTAATATTCTAAAATTCATATTGTTTATAAGCTCAATAGATTTTATGCCCCTGGGATTTTAAAATGGCTTCTAATCGTACAGTTTAACTGCTAATAGTCAAATCAGCTAAACTAATAATGGTGCAGCTAACAACCGAACAACGAGTTTTTATTGTCAACCTTATAAAATAAGTTGTAAGTAAAATTTTACTCGTTAAATACTTTCAATTCAGCTCGTTGGTTTACGCACCTGACTTTGTTTACCGACGATTGTGCCGCTAGAATATGATTACAAGCTTTCTCGCATTCCAGGGGCCAAACGTCTTTTGTGTTGTAGAACAAAGAGGATTTGATACACCCTGTATACCTGGTTGCCGTGAACTCATAAACTTCAATTCGTTATCATACTTTGTTTACCTTTATCGACCAATCAGATTCTTCCGCCGCCGCCATTTTGGGTAGGTACTTACATTCCGCATGTATTCACGAAAATTTCGGCAAATTTACAAAGTTTGTGTACGTTTTTCCAGCGCTTTCCTTTGGATTCACCACTATTTTCATTATGAAAGTATAGTTTGATTATTCAACTTAAACCTACGGTAGGCATTTAGCAGCCGACGTGCCGTTTTACTATAGTAATTTGTGTTTTAATTTGTCAACATGTTGAAAATTGAGGCGAGAGTTTTCTTCCTTCCCCATAATATAGTAAGTTACGTCACTAGTTGTATAAGTCTTTAATACTTTATTGGGTAAATATGAACATGATTATTTACAAAAAGACGTACTAATAATATGCATGCACAGAACATATACAGTATTACCCAAAGCCAAATGGAAGAGGTGCGAACGGAACGTAAATTTGTGCTATCCATGCGAGGCACCTTGCCAACAAAATACATATGAATATAGTTGCGTTCGACGAAGGAGAACGCTTCCTAATCGTGACGTCACGGCTGGATGCTATGTCATTTCGAGATTTTTGGATGTAACATTTGCCTCGGTTTCGTGTTTTTGCGTATGCTCTGATTTCCGGGTTTTGTGCCGTGTCCTAATGTCACGTGCTTTCCGTATTTTGCGATAATACGCTGTTGTTTATAGGACCGGGCATTTGGCTTTCATATTCGCCTGTTTATTAAGAAGTTATGGGAATTGTACACTCGATTATTTTGATTTGAAGTGTCTGCAATATGACTGAGAATTCTCGTCAAAGCATCAGGAAGCTATCTTCCGTTGGTTTAACCATGCAAAATCCGGAATTTTATTTGCTCATAAAGTAAACAAACCGCGTTTACTTGATTACTTCTTTGAAGATTCACAGCAGACTTTAATTCGCATTGCCTTAAGATTTAGATCCACATCAAGGATATCTATAGAAGACCACCGAACGCACTTGCTAATCTTTGATTACTTCTAGTTTACTTAATAAACACACTAATAACAAGTTTATACAACGAGACAATTAACTCCTATGACAAGGACAGACACGTGACATGGACCAGGTACATAACAAGTTTACGTCGAATACAGTCGATACTGACATAGAATAATGATTACAGAGGTAGTATTTAAATGTTTTGAAACTGGAGAATGTATTTGGTGGGCCTCTTTACAAACGCTATTCCATAATTTCACGATCCTGTTGAAATACGAGTTCTGGTATGTTGTGGTTTTGCACAGTGGAATCTTAAGCAACAGGTTGGGATTACGACATAGACGAGAGTGGTTATGGGTTACAAACGAGACATACTCATGAACATTGACATCATCACACCCTTCCTAGCTTTCAATATCCATCTAGTGGCTCGCCTCTGCACTCGCTCTATCTTTATCCTCTGTGAGCAAACATATGGTGACCAAACTTCACAGGCATAAGTTAGATTGGATCTCACTAAGGAAAGGTACAGAGTACGGCGAACACTGACGTCAGTCAAGAAAGGGCATGTCCTCTTCAATAAACCGAGCAGTTTGTTCGCTTTAGCTGTAATCTCATAGATATGAGAATCCCATGAAAGATTCCAAGTCATTGTAACTCCGAGATCTTTCTCTTTCTCAACATGAGAAAGAGTAGTTGAGCCCAGTTGATATGGGAAATCCACCGGTTGTTTCTTTCGCGACACAGTCAACACTTTGTATAGTCAAATGGCCGACTCATTTGTCTGGGCTTCTTATGCTCCGACTACATTGTTTACGTGCGCGGTCAGTTTTACTCTCTGTACTAATTACTGTTTTATTCTGTTTTATATATACAAAGAGGAGAGGCGAGTAGGCCAGTAGGCGTGTAGGCCAGTGGATGTGTAGGCTAATAGGCGAGAAACTAAGTGTGTAGGGCTGCTGGCACATAGGCTAAAATGTTTGTGTAAAAGGGGCGTAGGCTGTAGGCTTTTTAGATCAAAGGCATTGCTTCGATGGCGGGGTATTCTATAGTAAATTTATTCACATTATTAGTTCTAGGGAAATTTACAATAATCAATAGTTTCTATAGTTATTCCCTAGCATTACTTGTTTGATCGGAATGAAACTTGGCACAATTATTCTAAGCAATATCGATTGACGGAGTTCGAATTTTTACTTTTGACCTTTGAAGCAAGTTACAAGCAATTCTTGATATATTTGCAGCAAATTATATATATACATATCATTAATATTCAGCCTATATATAAGTAAACGCAAACGATTAGAATTTCATTGTCCTCTCCATTGTTATAAATACAATGCAGTTCAGAAATTAAACTCGGTTACGCAGTTCCTGGTCCACTATAGTACGATCGTACTTGTAAATGCAATTTAAAAAAATTTAATCGCTTTGACTAAAATGTTCCAAACGTTTTTTGTATTGTAAGGTTGTAAGAGCTAAAATGTATTTTTTTAGAGAGCCCAGGGATAATATGCTTGGTGAAAATTTGATCAAAAAAAGTTTAAAATGACTGAAAAAGTATGTAATCGAACAGCAACTCTGCTTATGAAGTAAAGATACATAATTATGAATGTTTTCAGTGAATGTTTGTATCATCAAATGGTACTAATTATTAAAAAACTGATATCCTCTGCGAGTTAAAGCTATATAACGCCAAAAACTCTGTTTTGCTTTGAAATGTTTTGCAATGTATTTTCTTGATATTTCAAAATTAAAACGCGAATTTAGAAGTATTCTTTGAAATTCGTCCTATATTGTTACTCCACAAATATGCAAACATTCTGCCTGCTAGTTGAAAAACAATAAAAAATCAGCTCTGACAACGTTTCACTTTGGCAAACACAATTTGACAATTCGGGTATAAATATGGCAGCCGACAAGGGTAATCAGAACTCACTTACAAAACAAGGATTTTAATACTGCTTTTAAAAACAGCACGATAATTTAAAATTTAAACCCAAACAAAATTTAAACCCAAACAAAACAAACAACTTACCGTTACCGTAATTATTCGAATAAACGCCGCGGCGTTTATTAAATTTTTAGCAATTAAGATGCGGCGTTTTTTCGAGGGCGGCGTTTATTCAAGGGAGGCGTTTATTGCAAACTCATAACAACTCTGCATTTCAGTGTGTAATTTAAACGCCAATTTAACCAATACAATCAATCCCCAAAAAAACTAAGTATAAAAGTTATGTGTCTTTTCTATTTATATAATTATATAGGAAAATTGAACTGTGGTTATAAATAAATGCTTCGAATAAACGCCGCAATGACGAAAAGGTGGCGGCGTTTATTTGAGGGCGGCGTTTAATGATATTTTTGCTTGTCCCTGCGGCGTTAATTCGAGGGCGGCGTTTATTCGAGGGAGGCGTAATCTCCAAAATTTTAGTCCAAAAATGAAGATAATCCGACCCAGTTAAAAAAAAGTCAATTTTTTATATTTCGAACAGCGTTTTTTCTATACTTTTGTCCTGACTTTTGTATTGAAATTTGGCCGAAAGAGCTTACCAGAAGAGAATCGGGTGGTAGCGTGGCGCGTGGAAATGACGTGCATTTGGCAAAAGGGACACTCAGCGATAAAAATAGACAACTTGCATTATAGGATTCGCGCCGCTAAGCATGATGGTAGGAGGCTGTAAGACTGTAAGTTGCTTTCGATTTTCGAACGAAATGAATGGCCGGCGCTGGAGCGGGCAATTTCATTCGGAGGAATATATGGCAGTTTTTAGACTATTTATTGCTTCAATCGACATTCGTTTTCCTATGGGAAATAACAAGGGTGCTATGCTCTATATTTTGAGAGAATTTGAGGAGTTTTTATCCATTAGCAACCGAGAAAATACTCCGAGAGTGACACGCTTTGAAAACTTACTTTGCAGAATTTACTAGGGGATATTTCGATCTCCGCAACAAAAGCAGGTGAGTTGGCCTTTCATTATGCGATCGGCTGAATTTTATTTCAAAATATGATGCTCGGATAGTGCCTTGCATTCGATCTCACAGTTGTTTTGCATGGTCGCGCATTAAAATGGCATTTTTGACCTCCTGAAATTTACAACCTCTGTCGCATTTGTGTTCGAATTTGCTATTGAACCCATAGAGACTTCACTAAATGTTTTTAGTATAATTTCAGTATTGAAAAATGACCTTTGAGCATTCTGATTGGCTCCCTCGGCAGTAACTATGAGGCAATAGTTACTGCTCAGAGCAGTCTGAGCAGTAACTATTGCTTTTCCCCAAAAAACATGGCTGAAAATACTCAAAATCGTTTTGGAAAAATTTCGGAAGCAGAAATTGAGAACATAAATCAGTTGTATTTATAAATAAAACTTTTTCAATACTGAAATTATACTAAAACCATTAGTCGCCTCAGGCTCGGTGATTGCAAGCCTATATTCACTTCGCCTTCGGCTCAGTGAATATAGGCTTGTAATCACCTCGCCTTCGGCGACTAATTGTTAAATATTTGTTTTGGCGCGAAAATACACTAAATTCATATTCAAGTCGTCTTCTTGTGGCACAAAAATTGAAAGATAGACGTTTTCTGGGTTTTCTGCTGTTATTTATCCTTTAGCTGAAGTGTAACTGTTCTCCTCTCCTCCGGTACTAAATTTTGTATATAAGGCCCGTTTCATACGCCGTACTTTACATGTGCCGAATTAAATTCAGGAATTAGGCACGGCAAAAGTTCGACGTCTGAATCAACCAAATTAATTTAGTGCGGCAAAATAAATAAATTCGACACGTTTAGTCGCATAATGCGACTTTGGTGCGGCAGCTGATTTAGACGGCGTATCTCACATGTGCCGAACTTAAAGCATAAATTATAAATAATTAAAAATAATAATTTTTCCCATAATACACTTGTTTTTGCACTAAACATGGCGAACAAAGCGTGCTCTTCGTGCTCTCTTGATACAAAGTATGCTTGTATCAAGTGTAAAAAGCCAATATGCAACCTTTGTGGAACTCCAGAGATAGACGAAAATACGAATGGTTGGATCATGGGAAAACAAGTGGCTTATTGCTATTCATGCGAACGGAAAACAAACCTTTCAAAACGAAAGTTGATTATTGATGGGGCTGTACCTCGTGATAAAACTGATAATTTGGAAACGCAGACTCTTGTCACAGATAATCGCACCAAAAGTGTGAAAGATTCATTTCTTACCAGGTATAAGATCGGTTCTATCATCTTTTTCAAGGTTTTTTGCCAGGTTTTTATGCACTATAAAATTATATGAGTGTCGATCTTGTCATAAATTTTATAGTATATGACAACACCCAAGTATAGATTAATATTTATGAAATATGTAACAACTAGATGTTAATTATGAACACATTCAGGTCACCTAACCCTTTAGCCCTTGATTTAGTGATCTTAATGATGATCTCGATTCATCAGCAAGTGAAGATGATCCCATCATACCACAGGAGGAGTGCAAAAAGAAGAAAAGAGGTAGAAAGGCTAAATGGAGCCAATCAATACTTGATGATCTGGTAGACATAATCATTTCAAGTGAGCAGTATAAAAAGAAATTGATTTTTACCAATCAAAAAAACCAAAGAAATGGTGATATTTATGAAAAAGTGCTTGCAGAGCTAAAGAAACGTGTTGAATCAAGGGGAGAAGAAGTGCCATTTAATAGTAACCAAGTTCGAACAAAATTCAAAAAATGTGTTTCAGAATGTAAAAGTGTAGCCCTAACAATCAAAACTGCTACTGGAATCGACAGATTTATTGAGCAAAAGGACTATGGAAAATGGTTTAATGACTTGTTTGCAATAGTCAAAACTCGTGATGCTTGTAGGCCAGAACTTGCATTGGAACCGTCTGGTTCAGAAGAAAGCTTAACAATCCTGGAAGAAGATGAACCTTCAACATCAAGTTCATCTGGGAAGAAGGAAAAGTTAGTAATTAATAAACGCAGTAGAAAAAGAAGTAAACAGGACATGGTTAATGAAACTTTGAATCTTATTAAGAGTGCAATTGAAAAAGATCCAACAAAGGAGGTGTTGTCCTTTTTAAAGGAAGAGTCTGAAAAAACTCGAGAATATGAGTTAAAGATGATGCAAATGCTCAATCAAAGCTCAGCTTCAGCTTCTCAACCACCTCAGCAGTACAACATACAATATCCTGATAGAAACTGCTCAGTTTGGCAATACAATGGCCAATCAACACCATCAGCTAATCAAGAAAATGAATGGACACAGGGTTTCTTTCATGCACCACCATTCAGTTGAATGCATATGTGTACAGTTTACTAGTATATGTGCTACAGGTAACTTGTTGTAGTTTGTGTTTGAAGGGTTAAGCATGCAAGTGTACATTTTAAACATGTCACTAGTAGCATGCAATATTGTTTGATATTAACTTTAGAATGAGATCAGTATACATCTAACAATAACATTTATTTGATAGCCAGTAGAGTATCAAAGTATTGTTCTTATAATTTTGGCCTTATAAACAATAAATAGGTAACTTTGTGACAATATATGTTTTGAGATTATTTTACATTATTGTTGTTCTGTTATATAAAACTTGATTGTAAATAAACGAAATGGTCAAGTCAATTCAAACAGTTTCATCAGTTTAAAACTTCTCTCCACAGTTTGTCTGCAAGAGCATTTCTTACTTTATTTGCTTGTGCGTTGGAATTTCTTTGGTTTTTTCTACACTTGCTCATGTGTAATTCATCTCTAATTTTTTCACTTGATTTTCTGGCATTGGTAATTGGGTCAATGGTAAGGTCCAATGCAGAAGAAATTGCATCCCCCCTTGCAATACAAATATTATGCAACACCATGCATGATAGTGTATTTATGGTAACTTCTTCTGGAGTGCTTTCATTCTTTCTCATCAAGATTCTCCACCTTCCTTTAAGTTGTCCAAATGCTCCTTCTGTAACCATTCTAGCCCTGCTTAGTCTATAGTTAAAGTTTTTCATTTTGTCATTTAAAACAGCTTCTGTAAATGGCTTTAATAACCATGGTTGTAAAGGAAATGCTGAATCAGCTACAATTAATGGAGGAATAGTTATATCTGCTTCCTTCTTCCCAATATCTGGAACAGCTCCACGATTCTGAATTTTATCCCACATATCCGTAGCCTGGAAGATAATAGAGTCATGGGAGTTCCCTGGAAAACCACAAACTACCCCATATGAATCTATAATTGAATCAACCATAGCCATAAAACCACAGAATAAAAATTTTTAAAATTGTGGTACTCCTTACACGCCTCGGCTCCACCAGGTGGGCTTTTAATCGGTATGTGACATCCATCCGGCGCAGCCCAGCAGAATGGGAATTGCCACATAGTCCACATACTATCCATCATCTTCTGAAAGTCTGCCTTATCGGTAGGCATCATACTCGATATAAACTCTGTCCACAGGTTTTCCACAATAGATTTACATACTTCTGAAACTATCCCATGAATCGTCGACACACCCAAACCTGCCATCTCTGATATTGTGTAAAAATAATCGCCTCTTGCTAAGCGGTACAAGCAAATTCCAAGACGACATTCTGGGGATATTGGACATTCATTGACAGTATCCCGTTCAAGCTCATTGCGAATACGACTCAATATAAATATAAATGTACCTTTTGATACCCGAAATGTTCGCTTAAATATTTCGTCAGAATTTAAAAATTAAACGAGACTTACCTGAAGTTGAAGTTTAATTTGAATTCTGCAAGTCATCAGCGGGGAGTGGAAGAGTTGCATGAGAGAGCATACGCATGCGCACGATAGCCACATTTCAAAGTCAGCCTGAGTTCATTGTTGGAGTGGAAGAGTTGGGTGGGTATAAATTGTTGTAGGGTTCGGGCATGCAACTCTTCCACTCCCCGCTGATGACTTGCAGAATTCAAATTAAACTTCAACTTCAGGTAAGTCTCGTTTAATTTTTAAATTCTACTACGTCATCAGCTAAGGTCGTGTCAGAGTTGCATGAGATTTCACAGTAAACAATGGAATCAGGCTCCGAGGTTACAAAGTAACCCAGGCAGAAAATTCATTATCAATAGGTACTCATGTGTATATATTTGTATATATAATTTAACAAAACATATCAGCTACTTTCTAGTGTGTTCAATATCGTAGATCCGAGATTAAATGAAGTCTTGATAGGTTTATTGTAAAAAGTTTGGAAAGTCGTTGCATTCGACCAGCCAACCGACTCGATAATCTGAGTGATATCTCCTAGTTGGTTTGCTGCATATGATGTGGAGGCTGCTCGGGTACTGTGAGAACCAAATTCCTTCGTGTTAACACCAGCTAGGGATAGCACTGTCTTGCACCATCGTGATATGGTTTCACGAGAGACCGCTTTATGAGGTTTAGTGTAACTTATCAGAAGTTTTTTACAGTCATAGCTACGTAATTCTGTTGTTCGTGCGATATACTCCTTGAGGTGTTGAATAATACAAAGCGCTGGCTCATGTGGATAAGCATTAAAAGTAATTGGTTGAATATGACGTCCAACCCTGGTTTGTTTAACCTTCTCTTGAACTACAAACACACACTTCTCTGCAGAGAGGTCCATGTTGTCCATATTAAGAAGGTGGATTGTTTGGCCTCTTTCCCCGCTCAGTATTAAGAGGAGGAATGTTAGTTGGCATGTAAGATCTTTTAAGGACAAATCCTGTATCTTCGGTTGTTTCCGCAAATAATTGAATACGATATTAACATCCCAAATAGACTTATATCGTGGAAATTTGGGTCTCAGTTCGAAAATCCCTTTCATGAAACGTTTGACAAGGGGGTGCTGCCCAAAAGGTAGAGTTTGAGCACTGGTCTGGAACAAAGCCGATAAAGCACTGCGCGCTGAGTTAATGGCCGAGTACGATAAACCAGAATGGAAAAGATCGGACAGAAATTCAATAACTTTTGGAATAGGTGGGTTGAAAAATTCGCACCTTGTAGTACTACAAAAATGTCCCCATTTTTTGATATATGTTTGGTATTGGGATTTTGTCCCTGCCCTCCAAGAGGCGATTATTATCGTCGCTGACCTTTCCGACACACCTAACTGAGTGAGTTGTTGCTTGACACAAAACATATTTTCAGTTCCAGCTTCTTTACTAGAGGGTGCAACTCGTCTGGCGCAGCTGGTAGATGTAGGAGTGTTGGGGAAGGATGGCAAATGTAAGGTGGCTGTACTAGCAGTGGTGCAATCAGTGGATACCAAGGCTGTGTCGGCCAATTTGGGATGACCAGAATGCCCGTGGCTCGTTCTTGTGTAATTTTTCGGATTGTCTTTAAAATGCAGCTAAACGGAGGGAAGCAATAAAACTTTAGATTGTTCCATGGGATAGAGAATGCGTCAATGTATGTTGCCTCTGGGTCAGGCTTGTATGAACAGTATTTTGTGAATTGTTTGTTTAGTCGTGAAGCAAACAAGTCAATTTCCGGTTGAAATTTTAGCAGGTTTAATGCTGTTTGGAGATAGGATGGATTTAACATCCATTCACCTTCGCGATATATTTTCCTTGATTCCTTATCAGCGACTACATTGGTAGACCCAGGCAAGTGTGCTGCAGTGATTTCTATTTTGTTAGTCATGCAGAATTCCCAAATTTCCACTGCTATGGTGTTTAGAGTGTCATTATGGCTTGTCCCCATGTTGTTTATCACATAAACAGTTGTACTGTTATCCACCATAATTTTAACATGCTTCCCTGCTAATTTTGAAACAAATGATTTAAGTGCAAATAATGCAGCTTTCATTTCAAGGACGTTTATATGCTGTACGCCCTCCTGTTTGCACCAGTTCCCCCCTGTTGATTGGTCACCTAGAGCTGCCCCCCACCCAGTCAGAGAGGCATCTGAATAAAGGACAATGTCAATTGGGGTTGTGAGGATATTTTTGAATGACCCTTGTAAATTCTTTAGCCACCAATTTAATTCTGTCTTGGCTTTCTTAGATATAGTCATTGGAGCTTCAAAATTTCCTTTGTGTTTAGCTAATGCTACGGTTTTGTCTTTCTCAAGGTTGCGGTAGTAAAGTGGGCCGTATTTGACAGCCGGGAAACTTGATACCATATGACCAATAACTTGGGCAACAGATCTTATTTTAGTTGCTTCTGATGCCAAGATGGTTGTAATGAGACAAATGAGTTTTTCTTTTTTCACATCAGTAAGACGTATTGTCATTGTGCGGGAGTTAATTCGGAACCCAAGAAAAATTATTTCTTGTGTTGGGATAAATACAGACTTGTGTGATGGATAACAAAACCAAGTTTTTCCAATAAGGTCAATGTTGCAATGATAGTATTAATACAACTTTCATATGAATGGCCAATCAAAAGTAAGTCATCTATGTAGACTATAATAATGTGGCCTTTCAGCCTTAATGTGGCCAGGACTGGTTTGAATAATTTGGTAAACTTTCTTGGACAAGAAGAGAGGCCATTGGGGAAAGCTGTAAATTTAAATAATTTTCCCTTATATGAGAATTTTAGGAAGTTTTGGGATGCAGGATGGATTGGAACACTATAGTAAGCATCCTTTAAGTCTAATGATGCCATCCAACATCCCTTTGTTATAAGCGTAAGAGCGGTATGTATATTATCCATTTTAAAATGGTAATTTTCTACAGATTCATTCAATTTTTTAAGATTTAAAATTAATCTAAGGTTGCCATCTTTTTTCGGAGTGGTAAAAATAGGGGAAACAAATTCAACTAAGTCTGCATGACAAGGGATAATCACTTTCTTATTCAATAATTCCTCAATAGCAGCATCTATTTTATTCACCTCTGCATGTGGAAGCATATTTGGAGGGACTGGTGCTGAACAGGGCAAGTGCTATGAAAAGTAAGCTGAGCCCCTGAAACCATTTCTAAAATGTCTGAGTCTGAGGTTAATTTTTCCCATTCGCTAAGGGAATGTGAAATTTGACCCGCGTGAAAGGAGGCAACCTTTTCGGTTAAGTAAGGGATTAATTCCTTTATAACAAAGTCTGGAAAACTATATACCTGTTGTCTTAATTGTTCTAATTTTTTGTTGATGGCTTCCGGGTTTGGTAATTTTGGTTCCTCCTGGGAGGATACTGTGTCCTCCCTCGCTGGGATAAAAAAGGCCTGGTTGCCTGAGATTGTGATGGCCCAGATGAAAAACGTTTGGTAAAGTTGTTTTGCCCTGAATGGAAGGTTAAGCTAGATACAGTTTTGCTTGATTTTAATATCCTGAGCTTTCTTAGCTAGATCTTCCCCAAAGAGTAGAGGCCCAACTTTGTGGGTCCTTGAACAAAGTGGTTTGTAATCTGGGTGAAGAAGAGGTCGAATGGCATCTTTACGTTTATATGAAATCTCTTTGCATACATGTCCAATTAGGGCAGTAGTATCAAGCAATTGCGGGATGATAGTTTTGTAATTTGGAATGGTTTTACTTTCCCTACACTCTAACAATGTATTAATACCCTTCGCTAGACCTGAGAGCCCTTTTATCAAGGTGTCTTGTAAATTGGCCATTTTAATGTCAGCCTTTTTGGCAAATGGCTTCATTTTTTGCCATATCTCTTGGTTTACTTTGGGCACATACATCTGGTCACAGTTTTCAGGTCGTTTATATTGTTTAGGATTTCTTTCAATTTTGAAATATCGAAATCATCCGCAAGTTTTGAATTAATAATTTTGGCCAAAGGTTCAGTAATAGGAGGCCCAGTTTGTTCCTTAGCAGACAAATTTTGAGCTATATCTTCAAGGAGATTATCGTTGTTAACCTCGTCGTCATCCTCTCGAAAGTCTGGTCCTCCATACAAACTCAACGTGTCATCGCCCTCATTAGGTTGTTCGGCAGATTGTTCGTTCTCGTGACAATCTTCTACAGTACTTTGCTGGCTTGTTGTTAACGGGTCATTACCCTCGGACGTGTGCCCAGACTTTGGGGCAGATTTTGCTCTCTTTGGAGCTGGTTCTGTGCCGTTTTCGGGCTCATCTACGACTATGTATTCGGCTTCGGCGTCGCTAGCACGAGGCCGTTTCTCGACGGTCCTGTGTCCTTCGAATATACCTTTCAAATAGTCATTTGTTTGTGACATGCTAGCCTGCATAGCCGTGAGCACAGAAAGAAAGTTTTCCTCATTTCTTGAATGAGTGTTATAATCATTATTATCGGAGGCAGCGTGCTCAGAAGGTGCTGACTCTGGTTTATCTTGAGACATAATTTACATAACAAATAAACGCAAAGTTATACAAACAATTAGCTAATTTTGTATCAACTTATCTGTAAGAGTTGGATTTTGTTCTTTGGAAGTTTTGAATCAGCAATTTTCGTCTTGATGGATAGGATTGAAGTAGAAACTTTTTGAGATTCGAAAAAATTGTGGCTTCTCCGTGACAAAGGCGTATACAAGTGGCTATCGTGCGCATGCGTATGCTCTCTCATGCAACTCTGACACGACCTTAGCTGATGACGTAGTAGAATAAGCATTCCATACCAATTGCCACCATCCGGTGTTTCTTCTCAGCCGTCGACAGGAACGCTGTATTTCTTTTTGTTGCAGAAAATTCTGCATCAAAGCTAAAAGACTTAGTAAAACTTGCAGACGCCTTTTTTTCATTGCCATAAAGAGCAAAGACATGTTTTTCAGCTTTTGCCTTCGCCGTCTGGCATTCAGTATCAAAATTTTCATTAGATATCCAGATTTTCCAGGACGCGCCATAGTGAAATTGAATTTCGCGTCTTCGCGGGCAAATCGCTTATATCCAGACCCCTTTCCCCGCAAACATTTCAAATAAATTAAGTTCGACCGTGCCCAATTCACATTGAGCCGCACTCAATTCAATTTAATTCAGTCGGTACATGTAAAGTACGGCGTATGAAACGGGCCTAATACGTGAGTTCTATCGTAATTTTAGGCAAGATATAGTTCAATATAAATTTTTAAAGTCGCTTTAGATTTGTATATAAATTTTTTAATAAAATATTTAGTTAAATTATAAGTAGCTAGAAACAATTTAGGGTATCTATTAAATTTGTTCATATTTTAAATTAGTGTAGAATTGAATTAAATTTTAAATTTTTAGTCTAGGGCAGCTCAGTATTTAAATTTAAATTTCATATATAATATTATAATGGAGGTTGAACCACACACTTCACTTGAGGTAAATAACACTGAAATACCAACAATAAAAAGGTGGACAAGGGATTTAAATGGCCTTCCAGCCTTTAATTATGAGCTATTAACAAAACATTTGGAAACTGAACAATCTGGTGGTGCTCACAAACATAAAAAGTTGGGATATCAAATGTTCAAGGATAAATATGTTGGTCAAGTTGAAGTTAAAGGGAATGTAATCAAAGCTAGCTAACATGTCATGTTTTTTGGTTAAAGCTATTGTAAATGCTGCAATGAAAAACACAACATACACTGTATATGTTCATTTAAATGAAGCTAATGGGGAGGTTGTTTATAGCAACTGCACATGTAAAGCTGGCAAAGGTGGAAAATGCAAACACATTGTTGCATTGCTGTTTCAAATAATTGAATATAAACAATTAGACCTGACCGAAGTCCCGGATCACCTTACTTGCACACAATTATTACAGCAATGGCATGTACCAAAAAGAATGAGTCTGATGAGGCAGTCCTGTATGAAAGCATTATTTTTAAAAAGGCTGTCTATGAGAAGGATATTGAAAACAATAATAAGCGTAAAAGATCACAACTGCCCAATGAAGTGTACAATACCACCCCAGATTTTGCTAAGGTAATCCAACAAACTGAAATCAAGAAATTAGCATGCAGTTTGAATTCTCATCAGGAGGAAAGCTATCTAGGACAGTTGCTAGAGTCAAATGATTGTAAGCCATATGCATTTGAGGCTGCCCACCAGAATCTTCCATAAAAAAAGAGGCACACTGAATCCCTCACCATGAATCTTAATGACACTGCTATCCGTGATGAAGTTTTAGATAATTTACAGTCCATTTCAGTTGAAAAATCAAATAGCTACAGCGATACAGTAAAGGAATTAAAGCATGCTGCAAAAATTACACACTCAGAAGTACTCCAAATTGAAAGAAATACCAGGGATCAATCTTCCAGTGAGAAGTGGTTTGAGGAGCGCAGTAAGAGGCTCACATCATCAAATTTCGGTGCAGTAGTTAAGAGAAGAAAAACAATTTTCCCAACCTCGTTGCTTAACAAAATGAAAAACCAGTCCAAACAGGCTAAAAGTCCTGAACCCTGTCAATGGGGAAAAGATAAGGAAGAAAAGGCGATTACAGAATACTGTAAATTAAAAAAGAATGAAGGACTGGGTGTTAATGTGTGTTTAAGATGTGGTTTCGTTGTTAACATAGAATTTCCTTGGTTAGGAGCCAGTCCAGATTTCTTAGCTTTCGATCATTCTGAAGAAAAATCCTTCGGCATTGGTGAAGTTAAGTGCCCTTTCTCAAAAAAGGATGTTTGCATAGAGGAGGCATGCAAAGACAAACTTTTTCTTAGGCATAAATAATGGAAAAGTCCAACTGAAAAAGACACATAACTATTACTATCAAATCCAAGGCTGCATGGCAACGCTGAATGTGAGCTGGTGTTACTTTGTCGTTTTTACCAATGTTGATTTACATGTTGAGAGAATTCGTTTTGACAACGATTTCTGGCAGAGAATTGTGCCAGAGTTAAGCTGTTTTTATTCTCAATATTTGTTATAAGAATTTTGATTGATAAATCCTGAGCAGTTGATATATATAACATTGTACAAACGCTGTTTTTAGGATAACTTATGTGAGCACAAAGCAGAAAGTAAATTACTTGGACTTGCAATATTAGAAGTCAAGACTCAACTTTAAGATTGTTTTTCTTTAATAATCGGGGGCAAAAACAATGTTAAATAGGAGCAAACACCCCAGATTTGGTCAAGGCTATCAGCCAGTGTCAATGGTATTACTTGGTGTAATATTCTATAGTTTTTTATCCGTGCAATTGCACGCTCAACATGCACCCTAACTGATGCAATTTTTCTAGTTGTGGCTTCATCTTCCGCTGAAAGTTGAGGTTGTCCGTCAAGAAATGGTGGGATATTTAGGAGTACCCCATTTGGCATGTCAGAATCAATATCAAAACCCCTGTCTGCCATAAGTTCATCTCCTGGCTCTAGCAAATTTAGAATCCCACAGTCCCGAGTGATTTTTTTGTTGCTAGTTTTACCTGTGTATAAACTGGAAACAAAACTTGGATACCCATTTGGTGAAATTCCAATCAAACCCTTGGCAGTGTTGTGATTCTTATAGCTGGAAAATGTGATTGACTGGCTTCTGCATGATGATGGTGTTTCAATGAAAAACTCAGTACAATCAATAATAACTCTTGTGTTAGGATAGACGTGCTTAAAGCAGGAAGGCATGTTATCTTGAATAAATTTACGGCTGGGCCAAATTGGGAGGGTGCGAAGGCGTTGATGCATAAAGGGAATCCAGGTTTTAAAAATACGAGAAACACTGCTTGTCGAGATATTAAATCTGTGAGCAATATCTTGTAAAAGTAAGCCCAAACGTAATCTTGTGAGCACAAGGAATAATTCTCCTGTTCTGGAGACATTGATCTTTGTTTACCGCATTTTGTTTGTGATGCCGAAGTTATAGGAGCAGTGTTGGAACCATGATACACCAGGTGTTCACAGGCCGGAGAAAGGTATCCGTAAAAAGCTTTAAAACTTGAATAGTTGGGAAATCCAGTATAAAATCTAAAATCATTGTCACTGCCTATGAATCTTTCTAATCGGAAGGCACTTAATTGTACTTTTTTGATATCTTCTTCATGCTGTTTTTGTAGCTGCTGTTTCTCATCCTCAAGTATAGCCATTTCCTTCTTAATTTTATTTATTGGATCCTCAATCTCAACAACTGTAGAATTAATCTCACTAGTGACTGCATCATCTCTTATTTCTTTACTTGTTCCACTTGATGAACATTGTGAATAATTATTATTGTCAACTGTTACTCTTACAGTGGGTCTTTTTCTTGGTTTACTAACTTTACTTGTTGATGCAAAAATTGTTGGAATGTTGTTGGTATATGTCTTCTTCCCTCCCACAAAATGCATTGAACACACCCTATGGGTGGAACTAGGATCTCTTACACCTTTTCTTTTCAAAAGTCTTACCCACTTTTTCTTTAAATCAGGATTTTTTGGAATCTTATGATAAGACAGTTCAGGCTTTTTCCGATTGTTGCTTTCGCATTGTGGGATACAACAATATCTTTTCCATAACCTTGCAGTGACTTCACTTTTTTCAGTGTTATTTACCTCAAGTGAAGTGTGTGGTTCATCAACCTCCATTATAATTATATTATATATGAAATTTAAATTTAAATACTGAGCTGCCCTAGACTAAAAATTTAAAATTTAATTCAATTCTACACTAATTTAAAATATGAACAAATTTAATAGATACCCTAAATTGTTTCTAGCTACTTATAATTTAACTAAATATTTTATTAAAAAATTTATATACAAATCTAAAGCGACTTTAAAAATTTATATTGAACTATATCTTGCCTAAAATCAGTGGCGTAACGGACGTAAGGTAGGGTTAGGACAAGAACTAAGGGCCCCCGACCGTTGGGAGCCCCAGAGGGCCCCCATTGATTGCCGTTTATCGCCACGATTCTTAAAGAAAAACGGCGTGTCAGTGTATCGCATAAAAAAGTCAGGTTAAAAACAAATTGTTATGCCAAAGATAGGCCTAGGGTATGAGGTATATTGCAAAGGAAAATGCAGCATTAATGATGGTAGATTAAATAATAGAGCATATCCATCGACCATGACTGAATTTTCTATTCTACTATCCATGTTCTATTACTTCTATAACTAATGAAGTAATACACTAATGTAAATTTACAAGCTTCAGCTCTCAAATTATTTTTCAAGTGAAAACATGACAAACAGCTAGGGCCCCCACACCAAATATACCTAAGGGCCCCATCTTCGTCCGTTACGCCACTGCCTAAAATTACGATAGAACTCACGTATTATATACAAAATTTAGTACCGGAGGAGAGGAGAACAGTTACACTTCAGCTAAAGGATAAATAACAGCAGAAAACCCAGAAAACGTCTATCTTTCAATTTTTGTGCCACAAGAAGACGACTTGAATTTGAATTTAGTGTATTTTCGCGCCAAAACAAATATAAACATTTAGTGAAGTCTCTATGGGTTCAATAGCAAATTCGAACACAAATGCGACAGAGGTTGTAAATTTCAGGAGGTCAAAAATGCCATTTTAATGCGCGAACATGCAAAAAAACTGTGAGATCGAATGCAAGGCACTATCCGAGCATCATATCTTGAAATAAAATTCAGCCGATCGCATAATGAAAGGCCAACTCACCTGCTTTTGTTGCGGAGATCGAAATATCCCCTAGTAAATTCTGCAAAGTAAGTTTTCAAAGCGTGTCACTCTCGGAGTATTTTCTCGGTTGCTAATGGATAAAAACTCCTCAAAACGAATGTCGATTGAAGCAATAAATAGTCTAAAAACTGCCATATATTCCTCCGAATGAAATTGCCCGCTCCAGCGCCGGCCATTTCGTTCGAAAATCGAAAGCAACTTACAGTCTTAGTGTCTTACAGCCTCCTACTATCATGCTTAGCGGCGCGAATCCTATAATGCAAGTTGTCTATTGATTACGCAAAGGATCATGGGAATGCCCCGAGGCTATTTGTTAGGGACTGTGAAATATTGTGTCTGTTTCTTGGCAAATCGGTCAATTTCTCGGCAAATATATTAATTTTAAAAATATCTCCTCTGTGCTTTAGCGTCAAAATTAAAGATGTTTTTGGCTTTATATGTCGTGCATTTTCACTAATTACGTCTTTTCCGCTCTTCAGCATACGAATGGCAACAAACGGTCATTCAGGCTACCCACTGAAGTGGTTTAAAGAGCAGAATGCAGCGAGGAGTTCCTTCGAATGTGTCATATGTCTGGAGGTTTTGAAAGATGCCGTGCAAGTTGAGGATTGTGGACACCAATTTTGCGCACAATGTATTGAGGATATTTTAAAGTAAGGAGTATAGCAGGGAATATAGCAGGGAGTCAAAATTAGTTTGTGTGTGCGGCGTACACAGCTAAAATGTAACCTACATGAAAAGTGCAATTTTTAATTGACCAAGGTTTTACATGTTAACACATATGACATATTATTATCTCAACAGAAGTGATCCTCGTTGTCCATCGTGCAGAATTAGAATATCGAAAGAAAATGTAAGCGGCGCCTGTTAACCTTAATATTGTTAGCATTGACAATTTTTAGCTTTGATGCCTTCTGATATGTTATTCATTTTCAAGGTGTTTAAAGATCATGCAGCAAGAAGATTGATCAAAAAGTTGGATGTACACTGCTGTAATGATGGGTGTAGTTGGATTGGAAGTTTAGGTTCCCTTCTTGAGGTACATTTTACTTATTCATTATTATTTAGGCAAGGTACAGTTGTATCCTCCAAATTTATGGTCACATAACAATATATCACAGATGAATATAATTAGTTTCAAGCAACTCATTGCACTGCTTGCTAAAACATTATTTCAGTGTTAAGTGTCAGAGTCGACCTTGACTGAACACCCCTTGTTCGAAACATCATTTGCTAAGCCTAAATTATCGGAACAGTAAACCTATTCAATATAGTCCCAAGTAACAGTGCACAAGACACTATAGTTTTTACTATCCAACCAAATCCAGTACTTCCAGAATATTCAGGAAAAGTCCTGGGGCCGGTTGTATCAAGCCCATTTAGTTTAAACGGTGGATAAGTGAAAACTAAATAACACTCTTCAACTCTCTTGAATGAGTCAACTTGAATAATATGCACTGAATATGTAGTTGTGAACAGTACCTTGTATGAAGGTCAAAAACATTTTGTTTGCTTGTTGAATAAAACGGCAGGCCTGCTTTCTATTTTGAACTTATCCACCGTTTAAGCTAAACAGGCTTGATACAACCGGCCCCAGCTGGATTATCAGACCAAATACCAGATATTTCATTTAATTTTAATTTATATAAAATGTTCTAAGCAAGTGTAAAAATGTATTTATTTTGTTGAGTCATAACAGCAAATATACATATTTTATATTGGCTTCATAATATTATGTGAAACAATATTGTTAGTAGTTCTAACATAATTCAGGAATGAATAAAAGTATACAATTGTAAAATGTAAAATAATATATCTATTGCTCTTCTAGTTTTGAAGTTCTACTAATATCACATATGATGATAAATCAATAAATTACCCAATCTAGGCTCACATGAATAGCTGCAAGTTTCTAGTTGGCAACAAAAATAATGCCAATCAATCAGATGCTATAGCTGAGCTTCAAGCAAGATTTGAAAGTCTTGTGTTGAAAGTTTCATCATTAGAAAAAGTGGTAAGTATATTAATTATGCATATGCATGCAGGGCGTAGCTAGAAGCTTAATTGTTTATATGTTTGTCTTTTGGGCGACTGATTTCTTTTGTTACTCTATTGTTCCTACGCCCCCCCCCCAATTAAGTGGTCTAACTAAGGCCTGTACAATTCACAGAATTGTTTTGTTTATAAATACAGTAAAATATTCTGCTCTAAAGCATATGTTGCAACTAGGACTCAAACTCCTAGGTGTGTCAGAGCTGTGCACGTGTATTTAATGGAACTTAAAACTTGTGTTTGATGTAAATCTAGTATTCAATACATTCAGGGCACATTTTAGAGCTTGCATATTTTACACATGTACATGTATAGGAGGGAACTGTAGACACATTTTGAGATTCGAATCCTCTTTTAATACCACCAAAGTTAATCCATCTTGGGTTAGGCAGAAAAATAAGACATTTATCATTTTTCCAGGTTACCCTGTTCATATTATCAAAATGTAACCTTATTTTTCCTCTCAGCACAAAAATGACATGGGAGAAGTTAACTTCAATGAACTCAAACAGCTTAAACTTAAGGTTTATAAAAAGAACAGAGTACAAAAAAAAATCATTGGCATTGCCCATTGGCAATGGCGAATTGGTTTATTCAAAATAAATGCCATCGTTACTCGGATGAAATTGACAAAAATGTCATTTACTTGGCAATATATTAAATCTTGTTTCCTACAGATTATTAAATAGAAACATTTTCCGTGTTTCTATACAGTTTCTATAGAAACACGCGTGGAAATAAATGTAATATTATAGTAGGCAACTTCAACGCGTACACAAACAAACTATTCGAAAATACGTAAAATATCCCTACAACTCCATGAGCTAAAATAACAAAAGAAATAAAATGTAGGATAGCTTTAATACATACTTATACTTAATACATTTAAACTTTCAAAACTATAGTCAAGGAAGCGAGGAAATGCGAGTATTTTTTTGTGTAGTATGACGATGAAATCAGCGCGATGAAAGCAAAGGTTAGTTATAATGCCATGGTGGAAAAGGTTTAAAACAGTAAACTTCTAACTAAAGTAATAACCGAAGATAAGACAATAGATAAGTAACTGTAAAGTAAGAAACATTATTTTTCTACAGTTTTAGAAACACGCGTGGGAGTTTGGGAGAACGAAAAATAATTAGTGGGAAAACGAGCCCGTAGGGCGATTCAATTACAAATTCTCATGCTTGTGAAGTTCGGCGGGAAATTCCCGTGTTTCTATACATTTTTAGTATACACCCGACTATTGTCTATTACAAATCCTATATTCTAATTGGCTACTCAACCATTGTCTATTCGTGATGGTGAACGTTTGGGAAAAATTCGCTCACGCGACCGTATAAAATTTAATTAATTAAATTATTTTTCGGTGTAATTGCGGTGTATCGATTATTTTCTCGAGATTAATATATCTAGGTACAGGGTGTATACTAAAACAATTAGACAACCCGCCTTCGTTGACTATATTCGCTTATAGACAACTTGGACTCGTTGTCTAATTGTTAAATAGAAACACGCTTCTTGACCAATCAGCACGCGCGTACTATAAATGTTATATTATAATTATTTTTACTAAACACTTGCCAAGTACGTGCACACTTCACTGTGGGCCACATCCTCCAGGAAAATTGTGAGAGTGAGATCTAAGTGCCCGTCATTGGGCGTCGAACTTTTCGTGCGCCGAACATTATTTCAACAAGCTAACGTTTTTGTTTAAAGTGGAAGTCAAGAAGTCCGCATGTAAACAAACGGTTTATTTACATTTTGAACTTCACTATTTTTTTAAAATACGATGTGCTGTCTGAATTTCTAACACTATTTAGGTTCGTTACGCTTCTAAATTAATATGAACTAGAGTTTATGTTTAGAATAAATAAGAAACATGCGAAATTTAGGCAATTTTTACATCAGAGGGCCCTCACTTGTTATGAGCAGAACCTATGCGCAGAACGGACTTGACTTCCACTTTAAGTTTATTTGTATATTTACACGTAAAAAGTTAAAGCTAAAACGGGCCTAAGTAACTTTGTGGCTTTTTGGTCACGAGTGCCCAATTACGCTTGGCCGAGTAAATTACGAGCTTATATGCTAGGCACGTGAAGGACACCGATGTAACTAATGCGATTTTCAGCGTTTTAGTGGTTTTTCGCAACTTCTTTGCTTACCTTTAGCTCTGTTGTAAAAGTCGTTTGCAAAAGATATCCTGGTTTGGGTGTGTTTTAGAATTTTCTTATTTTCCTTACAGCACGAAACTGACTTGAACAAACTCAAGAGTGAAGTAAGTGAATTTTACTTTAAATGAGCATATTTTTCCAGCTTGCGGCTAGCGGCTTGGTTTCCTTGCGGACGCTGTTTTATTACGATTTAGAAGGTTTTAATGATTATAAAGTTTCTAAATCGGATTCAAGATGGCAATTTTATTTTGCAACAGAATTGCAGCATTTTTTGTACGAAAAATCTTCATAAAGAGTGCTTTAAAATAACACTTACCATGGCGGGTGCACGTAAAAACGCAATATTCAGTAAGTCAGCAAAAAAACCTAATCCTTGATACAAAGATCTAAAGCGCTATATTAGTATTGCGTTATGTCGACAATTTTATGAAAAGTTCACGTAGTGACCGGAAATTTTTTATTGCATGTGTCTCATTATTTTAGCACGATGAAGAAGTTAAGGAACTTAAGGATCAAATCTTATTTTTCGGGAGATACACTTCGCTACCAGCGACCTCAGGGCAGTCACTAGAACAGCTCAGGCAAAACCTAACGGTATCGATAGCTTTAACGATACCGAATTTTACACACAAGTTAAATCAAGCTCGATCGAGTAACCAGTACGGTGAAATTCATGGTGATCCATTTAACAATTATCATGGATACAGAATGAAGATTGCAGTTCACCTCAATGAAGCCCCCTGTGGCAGCACGGGATATATGGGGGTATACTTGCACTTATTGCAAGGGGATAATGACGACAAGTTAGAATGGCCATTTAACAAAAGAGTTACATTTATTGTTGTTGATCAGCAAAATAATGAAGCTCCCGTTCACAATCACGAGAAGGATCTACATCCAGAGGGAGAAGAAGAATTTGAAAAACCGATGTTTGGAAGGAGTAATCAGGGTCTTGGTTTTCCACAGTTCGTGTTACACTCCACTCTGCGCAAACGACAGTATGTAAGGAACCATACCCTATACATCGCAGTGTCAATACAGCCTTGATGCTTTCGAAGTGAATGTACCGTATGTTTTGGATATATTGAGACTTCATAAACGTTCTGTCACTAAACATTTGGTGGCGGTAGAGACGTGCATAGTTTATAAATATTCGCGCTAAGGGCTTTGATACACACACGGAAATGTTGGAAAAAGGGAAACACTCGTTATGTTTCATGCCGAATGTAGCAATTTATATACAAACTCGTTGTTCACTTTCAGATAGATGAAAGCTCGTTGTTGTTAGACTTTCACAACACACTTAGTTTATGTATACTTATGCAATGAGTGCACTGTCCTGTATGTTCTTCATGGCAAATATAGTCAACTTTCAGTTGAGATAAAATTTCAAGTTGTAGTTGCAAAAGCAAGTCGATCAAAGCCTTGTTAGATTTCAAAACGAAGATCAAAGATTTGTTATAGATTTTAAAAAGTGTGACTTCAAAGCTAGATCTCAAAAGCTAGATCAAAGCTTAGTTATATAGATATAAAAAACATCGTCTGATAATCATATAATGATAATGTCCTTGTAATTTTTCATGGTGAATTTATAACCTAAATCATAAGTTTGTTGGAACACTACCTGTGTTTATTATACCTATATATTTATGGGAGCTTTCGCTCTGTTAACCTTGGCCGTCATCAAATTTTCATCGCGTTTTCGATTTAACTTAATTTATATTGGCCTTTATTTATATTGGAATTTGCCCGGGTTAACCAAAAGCTCTTTGAAATTCCCCCTCCCCAAGAAAAACACTGCGAACGTGTGTTATACGCGTCCAATAAATTATGAATGTTTATTGAATCGCTAACGTCATCGACCAGCATCGCATATTCGAACGCTTTCAAAACCATGTTTAAGACCACTAATAATGCTTATATAACAGTAATAAGAATCCGGAGATTTTTTATTGAATTAAGGAGCCGATTACATGAGGCGAGTTGCCCCGCCTAGCCGAGGTGGGACATTTTTGCCGATACTGCGGCCTCTAACATTTCTTAGTAAAATCTCCATTTCGATTGCATGGAAAACGGGTCAACTTCACTTGGCCGAGACATAATAATTTCAGTTCGTCAATCAAGATACCGGCGACTGATTGAGCCTGTTGTTTCATAGAGACCTTTAGTTAAGAACGGATAGCATGAAATATTTTTTCGTGTTTTTTTGATTTTTTTTTTGAGATTTTTAAAATTTTTTTTCGTAATTTTTTTTTGTAAATTTTTAATCAATTTTCGTGATTTTCATGCGCGTCCTTCGTAAATTTCCCTCGGAATTTTCACAAATTCATATTTTTTGTTTTCCTATTTTTCCCTCAGTTTTTTTGTGGGTAGCCATCCTCGTCCCCAGGGCCTAGCTCCGTTGCTCTCCACATAGGTGGGTAGCCCGTTCGCTACGAAAGAGACTGGGCAGAGCCGAAATTTTGTCAGTCTGATCGATGTAAACTGGCCTAAACTTTCAGATAAATTAATCGCAGAAATGGTATTTCATTGATTATTCTTATGCCTACTTTGTTATAACTGTATCTAACTAGCTAACCAGCCCATTTTTGCTTTTGCGTATGGCATTAGAATGTAAAACTAAGCATCATGCAGTTGATTTCCCCGCCATTATTACGGCCTGTCATTTGACATTGAACAAAACTTGTTAATTTTTGCCACATGTATGCATTGCATACCTATTTTTAGTGTTTTTTTCTCATACCAAAAATACAAAAAGATGAAAAATATTGGTTGATTAAAAGAAAGAATGATTCATAATTAGATTTGATGTAGAAACACAATTATACAACATTTGAACACATGACATGAAAAAGACAACAAAATTTAAAGAATCTTTGTTATACATGTCAAAACTGAAATGATATTTTTTGCGCCAATTGGGGAGTATCTGTTTCAAAGCAGCTAAGACAATTGCAAAAGAGTAGTTCACACTGTCCATCACCACCGACGGGTGGATTGTCGCGACGTAGTTCTCGACAGGTAACCGCGCGTGAACTGTAGTTCTACTGGTCGGAAAGCAATCACTCTTTCTCCTTGAATCTCATCCTGGCTATCACTTGGTTTAACTCCGTAAAACAGTTTGCATAAGCGCCTATATTACTTGGTAGAAGCTTTTTCCAAATCAACACTTCCGTTGGAAAACTGCCTTTGTTTCTTTGTCCCTGATAGGTACGAAAATTGTACCACTCTGCCTACCAAACACTCCGAACAATCGACTCGTTTAAAAATGCACAAATCAGCCGATGCAATGGTTTTTCTACTGCTGCACACATCACGTTGACTTTCGACATACACATGATCAGGCTGAACTGCGCGGACTCGAAGTAAACGATCACCAGACAACTGGATGTTTTCTTGCAGGAGGTACAACGCTATTGTCTACCTAATGTACCATTAAGTGACACCGGGCTGTCAGACTCACTATAACACGGGAAAATGCTACTTTGATCGGATGTTTTACGTAGTCTTATTTGTGATAAATCCTTTCTGATGTCGTAACAATTTCTTGGACTTGAAATATTTCCATTTTCGGAATTTGCAACAGACGATGAACTGCTGCTCGTGTCACCTGTCGTAGTGTCTTCGGGGCTATCCTCATCTGTTTCACCGTCATTTGCCACGATCTACAACTTCCTTATAACACTTATAAGTAGTTCTTTGTCGTCAAATGAGTCCAAATCAATGTTGCAGGATTTTGCTAAGTCAACTGCCTCGGCTTTTGCGTCATGAATAATTCTAGTTATTTCTTGTACCGTTGGAATTGCCAAAGTGTCACTGGATTCTTCCTTGATCTGGAAATAATAAACACGCGAAAATAGGATCCGATCGTCACATTCTGCTGTAGCTAGAAACTGTAGCTTGTGTATCCTATTCAGGGTCCGTTTCATTGTAAAATTAACTAAAATTAACTAAATTAGGCGTCATGGGGCGCAACAGGCGAAATAGTTGTTCACATGCTTGAGATCCAGAACACCAAACTCTTAGCGCTTCAGGGGGGAAGAAACCAAAACAACGTTTTACACCAAATTGAGCAACATGTGTACATTTAGCTCGGCACATAGGTGTAGGCATTGTTAGAAACAAAGTAAGTGTCCTCTTTACATTCATTTTTTTAAGCCAACGTCTCCAAACGTCTCCATATTCGCAAGAAGTACACAGATTTCCACATTTTGAACAATCGAGACAAGGGCCCTAATGACTTTTCAAAGAACGCATCTCGCCCGTGTCGGTTGTTAACAATATCGCATTGTTATTCTCACATTCAAGGCCTTTTAATTTCAGCATTAACAATTATGACTTTTATAAAGGAAATACAGCGTTTTACAACCCTGTTAAATTTGCACATGAGTCTTTCAAAACAATCCGTTCAGATTTCGCGCTAGGAAATAGGAACGTGATAAGGATATGCCAGGGGGGTTGATCTCTTTTCACACGAGATGAAAAAAGCTACAGTCGACAACAAAGGTTATAAAGGGGGACAAAGGCATAGTAATTGTAATCACTCAAGACTGAAAACCAATGTATTAATAAAGATATATCCTGAAATATACTGTTATTTTCAGTCTTCTAGACTTCTAATGCCGGCTTTCTATCATCTGTGAGGATATTCACCCCCCTGTCAGAGCCCTGTCCCGTTCCTCGCGCGAAATCTAAACGGATTGTTTTGAAAGACTCATGTGCAAATTTAACACTTAACCGGGTGGTAAAACGCTGTATTTCTCATATTTTATTCATGTTTTTAATTTCAAGTCCTTTATAAAAGTCATATTTGTTAATGCTGAAATTAAATGGCCTTGAATGTAAGAATAACAATGCGGAATTGTTAACTACCGACACGGGATGACACAATGGCGCTGTATTTGTTCAAAGTTGGGGTTTTACGTTGTCGATGGTTAAACAGTTGAAATCTACTTGAAAACTTATGGAAACTTGTTAAAAATGTAAATGATATTATTATGTCTCGACTGACTTTCATATTCAGAAGGATTCAAACGATTTTCGCTGATGACCAGAGAAGCGAACTTGGGAATCGGCGAAATGCGTCCATTCCCAGGAAGTAAGTGAATTTCAAACAGTGATATTATATTTAAAAATTGTTGTTTCTATAAAAGACTTGGGAGAAAAGGTGGTGCAGGCCCACTGCTGTTCATTTGAAGTTGTTAGCCACAATTTGACACTTGTGTATAAATATTGCATGGTCATTTTCTTGTAAAGTATTAGTGCTAGGTATTTTCTACTTACCAATGACCACCCCTAAAAGCACCATCTCTGAACCATATAAGCAGCTCAGATTACTCAAAGCTTTTTGGTTTGGCAGATGGCACTATAGTGAATGTGCTGTTTTTGGGTGTGGTCAGTTTAAAATGTTTCGCTGTGTGCTATGGTTCGGGCAGCGTTACCATGTTGACCGCCATGGTCATTACAAAAAAACCCAGCTAAGTTTACCTGTCCTAAATGAAATGCATACAAACTGATATACAGGTCCTTGACTATAGGAGGTTTGAACAAAGAACAAGCATGCTTATACACACCTGTAAATAGAAAAGCACTTATATTTATTAATATTCCATTTTATTGGAATCCTGAGTCCTGACGGACGGATAATCCAAGAAATTTGTATGCATTATGGCTGCATATTGCTGCAGCAATTTGAGTATAATAAACGCTTGTCAAACAAGCGATCCCTAGGCCTTCTCTAATCTCTGGGCCACAATTTCGCCCAATATGTTGCCTAGAATTGCACAATATCGCTTAAAATCGCCAAAATATTACACAAAATTGCATAGTATCACCTATTATTTATCATGGTGTGAGATACAATCTTTTGGTACAAATTGATTATTGCTATTGTAGGGGTTTTTTACCCAATCACATTGAGAATACCATTGTTCAGCTATATGTTGCAAACCATGCATATCGTATTGTCCCAGAATTGCAAATACTTTTTAGACTCTAAATTGTCTAAAACAATATTATTATCACTATATTACATATTCATAAGTTCATATGCAAAATACAATAATTAGTAAATAGATTTGAATATCTCCTACATTCAAATATTTCCTGCATGCTGGGGATTTAAATCCAGTTATACTCTCTGGCCATTACATTCTAGGGTGTTTGATGCCAGACAATATAGGGATAAGTCTGGCTGTTGGGGTGTATAAACTATCAATAATTCTACTCCCTAGCATTAATTCCATTCGCTTAGTTCTAACGCATCATCCCTTCAATTTTGCTGTTAGGGATGGTGTACTTAGGGATTTTCATATCCTGCAAAATGATCCCAAGCCATCTCCCGTTTTCACCGATAACCCCCTAGTCTCTTTTTGGCACAACAAAAATATCTGGAACACATTGGTTCACAGCTCTCTACAGCAAAACTGTTCAGACCTGAATGACACATTCCCCTAGGCATTGGCCAATCTAAAATACACTCTTTTACCGATTCGGCACTGTTATTTCGGCTCTCAATTCACAGTTTTTCATCAGGCACATTTCACATGACTCTCCTCCAACCT